ATGTAGGAAACTGATTATTTTTAAAAGGTAAGTAGTAGCAATTGTAAAAACTTTTTTGTGTATTTGCAGTAGAGGGACCGATCATGTACAAGTTAGTAAAATTATCGGCAATATAATTTTAAATTTGAGAACAAATAAAAAATTTTAGCGATATTTTTATAAGAATTTCGAAAGAATTTAGAAAATTTCCCTCCCACTGTAAACAAAAATAGAAACTTTATTTTTTAAGACCAACCTTCTACTCGAAAAGCTCATATATTTGACAACAGGTTAAATTTTTGAAAGACATGATCTAACGTCCTACGAAGCTTGTAAATTTTTAATAATTTTTGTTGTTGTGAGAAGTTTTAAAATGAACAAGTGTATTTTTTTGGGAACCTAAGCTAACACAAGTCAAAAATAATTTATCTTCTAAAAATGATTTAACAAAAGTGGAAAGCGAAACAAGTGGAATTCTTTTTTTCAAAATAATCTACAATAAAAAAAGGAAGGAGTAATTTCTATTCTAAAAAGTTGTATATTTTTAGGAATATTTACACTTTAATTAAGTACAACATACATAAAATCACTCAAATTACGGCCTTTTTTTAATTAAATTAGAATTTTTTTTTGCTTTTTCATCAAAAGAATAATTGAAAATTCAAGCACAATATAATCCCTTGTGAAAATCCTCAAGTATCTGTAAGCCGTATTATTATTATTATTAAAAACATGTACCTCCAAGAGAACTGCGTAATGATAAACAATTTTTACAGAAAAGTAGTAAACTAGATAAATATATTATTTCAAATAATGCTACTTTTAAAATAGTTTTATGAATTAAAATTACCTCAATTACTATTACATTAAACCAGAAATTTACCCAAATATTCACACATTTATGTATAAGATTACTGCAAAGAATTAATATACTTAGAATTACATTTTCTTGCGTAGACATGCACAGTGTGAGAATAAGAAGGGTTCGTTAAGTTTAAGATAAACAGGGAAGTTTCTGTAATGCATCTTAAAAGAAAGCATATCTAAAATTATTTATAATAATAAATAATTCAAAATATATTTTGAAAAAACTGTAATTTGCTACTATAATTTTTTTATAGAAAATTATAGTAGCAATAATAGTAGTTTATACAAACTGTAGTAGTATTGTTTTGTTCCATAAAAAAATAAATAATGTTTTAAAAAACACTTAGAAAACTGAATTCTGAGGAAATATAAAATGTGCTAAGAAAATATGTTTATATTCAAAATTTATTAAGCTAAATTTTTGAAGTAAAAAAAAATTTTAAAAATTAAAAAGGGAACAGAGTATCGGGAAATTGGGGTGAGTGGTGAAAATTTCATAAAAGCTTTTCATTTAAACCCGGGGTTCTTGGAGATGGATCAAAAAAATTTTTGGAAAAAGGGTTTGTGAATCATGGTTAGGCACCCCCTCTCTCTTAACTTCGGCACCACACCAACGGGAGGACGTTTGAGCCACGACATATTTAATGTGTATTGGCCCTCTCTGCACGGTGGTTCTTTTTTGTTTACCCGGGTTAGTCTTTACCCTTACCGCAGGGGTTTTGGAGGTTTTTGAAAAATGCACAAATAAAAAAATGGGACTTTTCGGGAAAAATTAGTCAATAGTTTCGTCAAAACCCCAAAAAGGGGGACGTCAAATGCCACGATATACAGCAACAGTAAAAAAACTTTTTTCCTTTCATGTTGGGAACACAAAAAAAAAATACAATTTGGGGATCTTTTAACTTTGGGCCCTATAATACGCTAGTACCAAAAAAGTGCCATGAATTACAAAAACGAATTTGGGGAACAAAAGCTATTTTTTTATAACGACCAGCACAAATCTATATCTGGGTAAATGCATACTAGACTACGATATTATGAAATGAAAATCATAGTGTCTATAGAAAAATAGAAAGGAAATCTAAAATTTATTTTACAACATGCGAAAACGGAATAATTTAAGTGCTAACAAGGTTTCATATTTGTAAGGAATTTTCGAAAATATTCATTGCTGACACAAGAATTATATATAAGTCTGATCCTATAAGATATTAAATATGAAAAAATACATATTCTTTATATTTATTATCCGTTCCAATTATACAAATATATATATATGTATAAAGTGATCTGTTTTTTTGGTCGAGGTTATAACTGAGGATTTCGGAAAGCGCAAGTGCCTTAACTTATTTTGATACAGAAAGTAAAATCGTAAACTAACAGTAAATTTTCAGCAAAGATATAATACTGCATTTGTTTCAGTCAAGAAATGCAATTTGCTATTTGAAAATTCTGTTCAAAAGGAAAAATTTTCCTTATTAACTATGGACTACATTTAAGGAATGCAAAACTAAACTAGTTTCTTTTATAGAGAAATGATTTCCAAACATATAAGGTTCATTTTGGATAAATAAAAACATACTTGAGTGAGTTTTAGAATTTACATTAAAGATTCATGCATGTGTTGAAACAAAAAGAATGAATAAATACATAGTTATGAAAGAAACATCTTCTTTCAAAGTACATTTATTTATGATTATTTTTTAAATAAAACTCATCTTCTTTTATAATATTCAAGTAAAATTCAGAAGAAAGCTGATATCTTTAGTGTGTAGGCGATGGAACTTAAGAAAGAACAAATTTTAAATAAAAAAAAGACTATATGTGTCTGATGATATAGATAATCTAACATTTTATATAACGAACAAAAATGGAGAAATATAATTTTAGTAGATTATTTAAGGGTTCCATAGAAAAGTCTTTAAAAAAACAAAGATATGAAAATAATTAATATAAACAACACATACAAAATTCCAAATAAAAATCTCAATAGCAAAAGTAAAATTAAAAATAAAATTTTAAATTTAGTTAAGAAGTTTTAAATGAACGAAGTACAGTCTTGGACTTAGAACCGATATGAGTGGTTAAACTAGTTTAAATGTATTAAATTTCCCCCTTGCATTGACAGGCTAATATAAAAATATCCAAATTCATTTAAATCTTACAAATCTTAAATGTTAAATTTTCAGGTTTATATATATACACTGAAGATCCAAAACATTATGAAAACCTACTCAGTATCATGTTGCACTACCTTAGGCAAGCACAGCATCTGTAACTCCACTTTGCATGGATGTCACAAGGTCTTGATAAATGACTGGAGACAGGTTCTGCCAAATGCTTGAGCAGTGGTCACTCAAAGTCGAGATGTTCCAACACGGAAGTAATTGATCTCTAAGCTGTCTTTCTATGAAAGTCCAGAAGTGCTCTATCAGATTAAGTTCTGGCAAGTTAGGTGGCCAGGACATTAACAGGAATTTTTCACTATGTTTCTCGAGCCACTCCAACACAATTCGATCCTTGCGATGTTGGGATTATCCTTCTGGAAGGTTTAATTTACGATAGGGAAGGCAGACGTCTTGTAAGGGTGCAACTGATTGGCAGTTTTGTTCAGATATTCCACAGCTCTCACGATGTGTTCTACCACAGGTAAGGTTCCAAGGCCACCCATAACTACGTCCCCCAAAGCATAATACCCCCTCACCAGCCTGTTATGACCTGCTGTACATGGGAGCAATTGTTCTCCAAAAGACGACGCGCTCTCAAACGACCATCGACATGATGAATGAGAAATTATGATCCATCTGACCAATCAACTCTTTTCCACTTATCCATGATCTAGTCTCGATGTTGCCAAGACCACTGTGGGTGTAGTTGACAATGGTGAACGGTAAACTGAGCCACACTGGTAGGTTGTCTGATGTGCAGTCCAAACGTGTTGTGTGTTCCCAAATACTTGCACTTGGAAATAGAATGTATTGGGCTGTCAGCTAAACCCTACTATTTTCGTTGGATTTTCCCTTTACAAAGTAGGACACTCTCCTGCAATCTTTTTCTTTGATGAATCTTTGATGCCGTCCAACAGCTTGGTATCTACTGCGGGTTTGGGCCCATTTTTTTACCCTTTTTTGAATAAATACTGACAAGGGAAAACAACCAAAGCCGGGTTTTTCCGGAAATACTCTTTCTGATTCTTTGGGACAGGAAATCAGCTCTATTAAATCACTCAGATCAGTACTCTTTCCTTCCCTTCGAAAATTAAAGGCAATAATGTTTCCTTACCTTCTCCAGCAACAATTAAATGCAATTTTCATTTAATCAAGTACCCTCCACGTCATCCATAATGTTTTGGCTCGTCAGTGTGTATAACTTATATCTATTTATTTGTGCCAAAGCTGTTTTACTGCCCTTTACCCCGGTGGGAGGGTTGGAAGGCTGGTTTGAGTTAGTTTTGGAGAAATATGAACGCTTTTAAAATTTTGGGATTTAAAATTTTTAACCTTCTTCAGTGGGGTGCCCTTATCTTGAATTATATTTAGTATCAAAAATCCCCAAACAAATTTTAAAGGGGTTTTTTGGAAATACAATTGATTTAAAGAGAAGCATTATTCCAAACGACAGTGTTTGGTGAAATCAATTCTCGAGAATATTTCTTGATATAAATTATCACTAGCCATGACTAGCCGTGGAAGCTTTGACGAACTTTTAAGGATCCAACAGTACTTACGTTATAGGTATTATTGGATAACATAAATCTAATTAAAATGTAAAGCTTTTGATTATAACTTTTTCTATCCCCACCTAAAAAACCTAATGAAAAAAAATTAAAAATTGTTTATTCAGAAAAAACGGGAGTCTCTTTAAAAATTTTTAATTTCTTCCCCCTTTGTTCTTTTTTTCCTTTTATATATATATATATATAATACATAATATAATATATATGATTTTCCTGTCTATGTGTTTTTCGAATGTGATTGATGTATCTTTATCTCTTGTTTGTAGATAATTAGACTATATATATCTTGTAGTGGTTGACATTTGATGTTAATACAGTTTTTTTCAAATAATAATGCATTAAATAAATTAAAAAAATAAATAAATAGTGACAAAAAAATCGCCCAACAGCATATATAGAAAGGAAAATTGTTCGTTGTATCCCTGTAGTGCGATGGTTGACGCGTTGCACTTCTAATCCAAAGGTGGTGGGTTCGAATTCCACTTGGGATGGAATAATTTCTAAGGATGGGATTTTTTTTTGCTATATTTTTTATTAGCATAATTAAATTTAATTAATGAATAAATTGTAACAAACAAACAAAAAAGTCCAACACCCTATATAGAAAGGAAAATTGAAAATTGCAAAAAGGAAAAAATCGCTTTCTATTTTGTCACTTCATATTGTGATTCTGTGATATGTATGTACATATTTACACAAACATACACACATTAATTGTAACTATTTAATAAAAAGTTACTGAAATAAAATTGTTCTTTGTTGCCTTAAGTAGGAATTGACTTAATTTTTTTTATATTACTTGTTTCTGAAAAATATACTAAGAAGCAACATTTTTACGATTAAGATGTTCAAAATTTAAAATAAGAATATACATATATGGCAATAATTCTCAAATTAACAGCTCAAAGAATATTCTTATAAAGCAACATTAAAAATAATTTTTCACCACATCCATTACATCTTATAAATATACACTTGTCACTTTTTTACAATGAAACTAATGATTCTATAAGAAGGCGTAACTCTACTCAAGAAACTAAACTAATCCCTAATGTTTATGAAAAAAAATTAGGAGTACAAAGGAAGTAACTGAAGAAACAGAAAAAATAAGGAAATATTAAGTAAGAGAAATTGTCCTTCATCCTTCCTTACTTTTCTTCATTAGGAAAGATGGAGTAAAAGGAATTAGTGGAATTTTCTGACTGAAGTCAATGTAATCAGGTGTAAATGCACTTTTGTAACATAGTTAATTCCTTAGATCGCATAAATAATTCTAATGATCGTAATGGATAATCGATGAATAAAATGTAAGTTACAGTGAAGAATGACAGTTCTTTAACACAAATAAGGAATCATATTTAAATATATATACCTCTACGGTATCTGAGGTTATTACTTTTTTTGTTTTTACAATCTATAAACAACTTTTACCTACAAATGGATTGTTTAGAAAGGTTACTTTCATAATTGCTTAAACTCTATCATTTCGGAACTTCATTTTATTTATATCATTTTTATTTATAAAAAAAAATCATAATGACCATTCCGGAAAATCAATTTTTTAACAGACTTTGGATACTTACATAATGTTATAAATTTAAGCAGAATTTTAGGATTTTTTTTGGGTGCCCCTTTTTTTGACCATCTCGCTGGTATCCCGATTTACGGTTAACGGTTGCGAAATATGCACAACCCGCGATTTCCGCGAGGATGGATTTTATCCGACTGTTTAGCTGTGCTACCAGTACTGTTCATGTTTATTTTTTTATGTTCGTTGTTAATGCTCTAATTCTATATTGACAAAAAATTTTTTCTACGGCAGTGCTTTTCAAACTTTCAACATACGCGACCCACTATTCAATCATCATTTTCATCGCGCCCCCCTCTATACAATAACAATGTTTGAATTCAATAATCTATATTTTTGACACTAAAGCACAATGCGACTTTAACCTCTTATTCCCCCAACGTATAAAAAAATCCCCAAGCCAAGCATTAGTTTTCTGGGCGTATATTTACGTCTTTTTCCAAAAAAAGATATTTCTGTGCAGTTCTATCCATAAAAATTTTTCCAGGGGGTTTGGAAAGCAATAAAAGAACCTTGACAGTGTTTACGAAGGGTTTACTTATTTCAAAGGATTTTGCTTACTTATTTCTTTCCTCCTCCCTTCCCCCCCAAAAAAAAATCAAAAAAACGCTCGTCGTCTACGGGTAAACGTTGGCTTTTGGGAGGAATTGTTAAGGAATTAATTATAAGTCAAAATTTTGAAAGGGGGTTTAAAACAAACCCATGGAGTCATATAACCATCAAACTTGTTCTTAACAGTAGTTTAAATTAATAATAAAATATACCCCGGGACAGTACTGATACATTTATAAGTGTATTATATCAGTGTAAATTTTATTTATATTTTATTATATCGAAAATATTTTGTTTTTTTTTACTTTCAGTAAATTAATAATTTTTTAATAACCTTTTGGTTTCGACTTTTCAATATTCTCGCGCCCCCTTGTAGAGTTATCACGCCCCCAAGGGGGGGCACACCCCACAATTTGAGAAACGTTGTTCTACGGCAATTTTTGTATATTTCAACACTAAAATATAAATTTAATATGTAGATTTGTAACATGTAATAAAAAATACGCAATTTTTGAGCTTATTTTGATAAAAAAAAATCAGGTAATGAGAGGGTTAAAAGCAGTCACTTTCATCTCATGACCACGGAACTCATGACAGGTGTGCCGTGAGTTCGAACCCTAGTTCCAGTGAGGACTTGCCATGTAGAGGTTCTGGTGCACGTTAAATTCTCAAACTTCGGTTGATAGCGTTGTATGGAAATTAAGTGTGGATTTCAGTTCAAAATTATGAGATCACTTGGTAGGGGTTCAAAATTATGAAGTTACTTGGCAGGGATTCAAAATTATGAGGTCCGTCGCCACTAGCCCTCACATTGCTTTAAAGTTCCGAGTTAATTAATACACTCTCCCTCTTTCTTGTTCAATTACGCATTTTTTATAACATTAGCATATCATTAAAATAACACATTCTTTCTTGAAAAAATATTAAAAAAAATAATGGTGGATCAGATTTAGAATAATCACACATAACCAGTGTTTCATTCAAAATGATACCGATTTATTCGATACCTAAATATAAAAATATAAATTAAAAAGTTAATTTGTAAGAAAAATGTATAAATGTTGAGAATATATATATATATATATTAATCTAAAATGTATAACGCTTATTCAAAGAATAGGGACATTTATAAATGTTCTTTTTTAATTCAAAGAAAACTAATTTGAAATTCATTTAAACTCAGTCATTTATCTTATGGTAAAAAAGCAATCTATTTTTACTAATGTTTACTTTAAATTACATTTTTTGAAGATTATTTTTAATGTTTAACATTATAATCGGTTTAGTGAAGGCGAACAAAACAACAACAACAGTTTAACGGAATTCTAGAGAGATCATTTATCAAAATAAATTGAGATGGTTAATTTACCTCAAGCAAATATGTGTTTGGGATAATTTTCATTTTTAAATTACTTCTTGAAATGTAATTTTTCGCATGCCATTTAATTAATTCAAACAGTCTTTAAAATTACATTCGATCTTGTTTTATATTAAAATAAATGAAATGATAAAAACGTAACTGTAATTCTCAGGAATTCTTTTGATTAATGCTCGATGTAAATAAAAAAAAATGATTGATTATCTTGTAATTATTCTATTATTTTACTATGAGGGAACAGAAAAACAGATACACATCTTTAAAGGATTTTAAAACCAATTTCCTTTTAATTTATTTAAATAACACTGTTTCGGTGAAATTTTAAGTTCTGGAAGCAATTTATTTGCTTTTATAAGCAAGTCTAGTTACATTGAATACAAAATAAAAAAAGGTTTAAAAATCTTTGTCTTTCATTGTCTTTTTTTTCGGCTTTCGAAAAAGATGTGATGATCAATTTCAAAATAGCCTGCAAAAATTTTTAAAAACATTTATGCTGATTTAGAGATTTGCGTGAGTCGATTAATTGATTTTTTATTAATGTCTTACTTTGAAGTTGAAAGAGGACTGTTTGCGAAGAATCTCGTAATTTTGATATTTTGTTCTAAAATTCCTTTCACCTATATTAGTTCATTATATATTTCATTCTTATAACTTCTCTATTTACTTTTAATCATCTATACCTTCTTTGAAAATATGTATATTCATCTGCTGTATGCCTTAATTCTATCGATGATTAAATATTTAGTAAATTCGGGAAAAGAAATTATACAATTGCAGTTTATTGAAATCTTTCATATCCAAAGTAATGTATGCATGTTTATTTTATGCGTGCAGACACTCATAAAAATGTCCTCCAAAGAAAATTTATAATTTCCTAGGGGAATGAGTACAAATTAGCGAGAAAACGGGTTTTATAAAATACTATACGTGTCACGATGTAGGAAGAGGAATAAAATCATAATGCGACCAGAATATTTTTTAATTTAGAAAGCTAATGAAAGCACGGTTTCTTGTTAAAACGACAGAGTGGTAAATACATAGAAATATTACAGATGAAAAGCCTTTAGAAGCCATTTTTCGCAATTTTAACTAATATTTCTGGGAATGAGACAATATTTCTTGAAATATAATTGAAATTAATCTTTTAAGATGAAAAATAGAATTGTCCTAAACTCTAACAAAAATTAAAAATATGCTTATAAGGAATTTTATTTTTTTCAGTACAATTTCCATCTGAACAAATAAATGATTTGACATCAAATAACTAGTTTAAAACAAGTTCTGAAGGAGAACTTTTAGATAGGGGAGTTTAAATGTTTGTATAGAATAAACTACATATAAATACATGAATTCTTAAAATGTCTTGATATAATGTTTTTCAGGAACATTAATAAACATATGGCATTTTATTAACTACTAAAGGAATTAATAGTTAATAAAAGAAGAAGAATATTATATAAGAGAATATATTATATAATTTAATATAAGAGAATATTCTCCTTGGAAATATTCTCTATTTCTTAAAAGCAACACTTACAGTCAAAGGAAGACTTTTTTAAAATTTTTTAGGTAAATTTCAAAAATTTAGGGAAAATTATTCCAAATGTTATTATGATACTTTTTTTCAAAAATAAAAGACATTTTTAATGTTTTCTCAATTATGGTACACGCGATATCAAATAAGTAGAATTCAATGACAATTATATTAAACTGATATTAACTATCAGTATCTAAGCAATGTTAAAATTATTCCTTCTTTTATTATTGAAATACATACTTTGTAAAAGTTTAAATCTCCATCATACAATAGGGAAATAAATAAGCTGCTTAGAAAAATGCTATAAATTTAAAAATACTAAAATAACTTGTGGAAAATATCTGAACGACTGTAATCAAGAATTTTTCATTAAAAAAAGTTAAAAATCCCTAAATTATTTTTTTGAAAAAATAATAATATGTGGATGGTTACATTT